ATTTATACATACAATGGAATATTTATACATACAATGGAATATTTATACATACAATAGAATATTTATACATACAATGGAATATTTATACATACAATAGAATATTTATACATACAATGGAATATTTATACATACAATGGAATATTTATACATACAATAGAATATTTATACATACAATAGAATATTTATACATACAATGGGATATTTATACATACAATGGGATATTTATACATACAATGGAATATTTATACATACAATAGAATATTTATACATACAATGGAATATTTATACATACAATGGGATATTTATACATACAATGGGATATTTATACATACAATAGAATATTTATACATACAATAGAATATTTATACATACAATAGAATATTTATACATACAATGGGATATTTATACATACAATGGGATATTTATACATACAATAGAATATTTATACATACAATGGGATATTTATACATACAATGGAATATTTATACATACAATGGAATATTTATACATACAATAGAATATTTATACATACAATGGGAAATTTATAAATACAATAGAATATTTATACATACAATAGAATATTTATACATACAATAGAATATTTATACATACAATGGAATATTTATACATACAATGGGATATTTATACATACAATAGAATATTTATACAAACAATGGAATGTTTATACATACAATAGAATATTTATACATACAATAGAATATTTATACATACAATGGAATATTTATACATACAATGGAATGTTTATACATACAATGGAATATTTATACATACAATGGAATATTTATACATACAATGGGATATTTATACATACAATGGGATATTTATACATACAATAGAATATTTATACATACAATATAATATTTATACATACAATGGAATATTTATACATACAATAGAATATTTATACATACAATAGAATATTTATACATACAATATAATGTTTATACATACAATGGGATATTTATACACACAATAGAATATTTATACATACAATGGAATATTTATACATACAATGGGATATTTATACACACAATAGAATATTTATACATACAATGGAATATTTATACATACAATAGAATATTTATACATATAATGGGGTATTTATACATACAATGGAATATTTTCTGTTTTGCTATGGTGGCTATGAGGCTTCTATAATACTAAAAGGTCGAGTCAAAAACTATAAATTATCATAATTAAGCAAATGATGGAATCAACGGAAGACTTTCGGAATCATTGGTCTTTATTTAATATGAGATACAGTGAGATATAATTATATATTATGATTCTATATTA